GTACTCATTTGGAGTTGAGAGGAAGGTAAGGGGGGTTATTAGGGTGTAAGGCCACCATCACAGGAAATGCCCTTACTCCAAAGAACCCAGTGGGAAACATGGCATCCTGCCTTGCTTGCAGTAGGCCAGAGATAAACTTGTCTATGGCGATACAGGCCTACATGTACATGTAACATCAGAGAGTCTGCCAGCTTCTCCAGTCTGCTCACCCAGAATAAATCACTGTCAAGACTTAAATGGGAAGTTTATGTTGACGGGGTTGTGTATTCAATTCATTCATAATTTTAACAACTAATCCCGAGTATTTTCCCCAAACCTTCTCCTTCTTTATTCCAACAAAATATTTCCCTATTCAGTATCATCACAACTAAAAGTCAATTCATTTTATTCAGAATAAGGCATTACATTTTTTATATACATGTCCTTATTTCACTCATGGAAATCTTAATCTTTATAAATAACTGATAACGTAGAACCTAAGCGAAGGGCAATCCTATCTTATTAAGTACATAGTTCTTGTGCTTACAGGATGCTGGAGACCATATGCAAACTACATGTATTTCCTTGTGGTGTGACGGAACAGGGTGGGGTAGTAGCAGGCTTTTGTCAAGAAGTCTTTTCAACTGGTGTAAGGGAATAGTTTAGGAAATGGGCATAAATTGCTTTTTCTGCGGAAATCATTCCCTAATGGATAGTGTCATTTTCTTGCCACTACAAGTTTCTGCAAACAACGTAATAATCATGTCTAGATCTTTGAATTACCATACAACCCTAACAATCAACAAGATCCAAAAATGGATTACTCTATGCACAGAAGATCAGTTATTGATTCAACACAAAGTTTTACGATTTTACAAAAGTAAGGTGGTACACACTGTGCTAAGTAGGGGCAGTTGGAGACTACTGATGTTAATCCATGATAACTTTCTTGGTTATTCACTGAGAACAAGTGAGCCAAGACTTTTTCAAGAGAAACCAACTGTTCCCGTTTGATGGATTGGGCTCAATGGACTATTTGGGGATTTGCCCAGGTTTCACAACTTGTTTGACCTCTGCTCTATTTGAAAGCACCACACCCAAAGAAAATCAAAACAACTCACAAGGTATCACCTAAGGCACCCTAACCCTCCCCCCCAAAAAAGCTTCTTCCTTCAAATCCTCTTACAAACCAACATCACTATCTGCTTCAATCCATCTCCATCTAAAATTAATTAGCTCAAATCACATCATGCATATCGGCTATTTCCTATTTCCATTCCAAGCCACCTTATCATACCAGGGACAGTGCAAAACATAGCTACACAGAATGGAGGTGTTTTCACTGTCACAGCCCTATGGATCAGGGACAAGTCAAGCGTAGATGGAATACAGGGCCCATAACAAAGATAACTTGTTTGCACAATACACCTGCTGGCCACCACAGGCTCCTCTAGATACTGAACTTTGGATGGCTTATGTTTTTGTACCCCTGGGTGACAACTCCTCTTTTTGAGGTCTCCATTGCAGAGACCGGGACACTACGTGTCTCATATCTGCAGCAATACCTCGAAACAGCCAGGTTAACGGGCAGACAATCAGCATCCAGGGATGAATCATACTTGAATCATAGAGAAGCATGATAATCTAACTCTGGAGGATTTAGGAAGCACTGCATACACGTACAACGCATCCTACTTTTTTTCTTGAAGGGAGACGGAGGGGAACCTATATCTTTACTGTAGCGGCATCAATTGAAGCTGACTCAACCAAGTTAACAGTAAAACAAAACAATCTCCAATCTCTGGCATTTTCTACATGTAATTGCCTCAGTGAAAGATTTCAGTTCCATGCAAAATAATCTCGATGCTAAAATGCTCTCCTGAGCAGCGAGCAATCAGCCCTAAACAAATCCACCAGCCATATCTAAGGGACTTGCTAGCTGCCATGGCAACTTCACAGGACCCTTATTTCCTGCCTATTATTACTCATCACAAAAAGAAAAACATCAAGTTGATTGAGCGCTTCTACAATGAGCAGAGAAAGAACAACCACAAGGCAGACCAACTCAGCTTACTGTCAGATGACGGAATAAATTCTCCTCCCATCTTAGTGATGTCAACACGAGTGAAACACATATAAACATGTTGCAATGAGACACACTGCAAGTACAATGACCCAACACGTTTCTTTGCCGACTCTCAACACTGTGTCAAATCAAGGAAAACTTCCTTCAAATGAACACTGATGTTTTCCTTTCAAACAAGTACTCTCAAGAAAATCAAACAGACATTCAACAACAAAATAAAATGTCCCAACTGACTAGTTAAAGGGTTTTGAGGTTTTTACACCTGTGTTGATGACTTGTTTTCAAAATAAATTTAGAAAGTAAAATACTGAATCACACTGATTCATACATAAAATCAGAGGAAAACATGCCTCACCACACCCATGGTTCAAGGCTGCTAACAAGAAAAATTTGAATATTTACTTTGGAAGATCTTATCAACATACAAAATCACTCATACGTCCATCTTGAAAAACTCCGATTATGATTTATTCGACCCTCAATCTGAAAAACAACCCATATTAGCATTTTTTGCATCAGCCTCTCCATCTGTTCTGTACAAATAAACTACTTCCTCTTCAACACCAAAGAGCATGTGCGACACACAGATACCAGCAACTGGGATGTCCAGTCAACCATTACAGCCTCCATTTTCTGTCTCTTACTCTCTGAGCTCTCACTATTATATTTCTCTGTCTCCCAAAGCCCTCGTCTGTTTCAGCCATTGATGAAAAGAGACAGGCAAACAAGTCTCCTGATCTAAATCAATAACACAACCCAAAGGTTGCTCTACTCAACAAGGAGCAATGTGTGGGGAGAAAAAAATCAGCCTGGCTTGTATGACGAGCTATCTGAATGTGCGTTGGTGGGGTGTACCGGTACGTTGGTGTTTGCATGCTCCGATGCCTAGATAACAATGGGAGCAGGTCAAGGTGTGGAGCTGTGGAACTACTGAATTCTTTGCTCTGCCTCTGTCTGCTCGTTGGTTGGCTTATGTGTATGACAGGGCTAGCATTGCTCATGCCCCTTCTTTGGAATCAGCTCTGTGTTGTGTCCATGCACAGATGTTTTTGATGCTAGGCAGTATGCCCCACTGAATAACAATACAAACTGTTTGCCAGTTGCTGGATTGCTAGATATAAGGCTCACGACAGTGAGAAGCTCGCTGAGTTACACAGATGTTTGATGTGGTTATCACTCACACCATGGAAACAACATCTACTGCATTATTATTTGTGGATTATTCAATGCCACATCCTCTTCAAATCTTGCAAACACATTTTTTAATATGCAAACATGTTCATTCTTGTTTCACCAATTCCTTTCTTGGAACAATAGCATCTGATTCCTCTCATCATTAAGAAAATTGTCTGGAGAGATTTCACTACAATAATTGACGACATCACAGGTACATCTTGTTACATTTGTAAAAATGACCACGTATGCACTTTGCTGCTACTGTTTTTCAGGCTTCCCTCACTGTTCAAAAACTTTGTAAAATAACATCAAATTTACTGCACAACTCTTTTGCACAAATTAAATTCAAAATGGAATTTAAACAGTAAAAAAGCACACACATCATGACAAAAAGTACCATATGCCCGGTCTTAAAAGATTACTTAATGCATTACCATCAAGTAGAATAAATGTACATATTTATGAATTTATGTTGGCTGGTATATCATCAAAGAGAGACATTTTCACATCAGCCAAAGTAATTTACATCTCAAATATTCAATCCCTGAAGTCCCCGGTCAAAAGTCCCCTTTGCTCTGACAGGCTCATAACTGATGACAAAGCATAAACTACAGAGGGAAAAACTAGGCCAACTCCAAAAACAGATTCCTCTTATGGAAACACGAGGTCATCATTGGGTAACTCTCCAGAAGTTATAAAAACACATGCCAAAGAAAAGTTCTCATGAAAAAAATAACAAATGCAATAATACAGCCATTCTGAGTCGCAAATAAATTTATTTTTTTTTTGGCCCCACCCAATTCTGTAATTTAAGAAATGCCTTAAAGGCCACGATGTCCCCGAACTCCTTGCCTCATCAACAAGTAATCGGAAATAAAAACCTTTTCATCGAAGGTCATGACTGACGCCGCGCCAATCCACCAGGTAGAGTCTTCTCGGCCGGCAACTTGTTGCATGAGGCATTTACGAGTAAAAACTAAGAGCAACAATATCCATACGTAGTCACCGCTGATGAAGAGGTCAGATCACGGGCGGATGTCGTGCTCAACTAGCAAGCAGTATGCAGACACTGTACAGTACAAGGCAATAGCATCACCACACCATGTTGCACCATACGTGCAGGAAGTTAAGAGAAGACAAAATGACTGCCGCGTGGCAACGGCCCCGGCTAATGCACAGAAAAAAAACTTGTACGCGGCTGGCCAGCCGACCTCACGCTGCCCGTCTCAACTTCGATAACTTTTATACCGTGACATTGGTGAGATGCCCTGTATAAAGTTTTCATTTCCCTGGACTCTTTGAATAATGAGAAACCTACTCCTCTCACATACTCGAAACCTGAATGCTTACCGATGATTCTGCTCGCAAGGAACAAGATGGAATTTGAGGTGAGAAGTTGTCCAACTGCCGTCCAATAAACCCTAGCTTATCAACATTTAATAACTGCATCCTCTCGCCAACAAAGACCCAGACACACCACGGCATTGAATCCACTCAGTGCACTGTGGTTGTTGCATACCGACATGCACGTCAATCCCACACACACATACACTCTCTTTATAATGTGGCCCGGAGCAACTCTTAATGCCAACGGAGCTAACAATCCAAACTTTGAACAGGATGTCGGCCATTTAAACTCTATCACTATCAGCTCAGACACTCGATTCCATCCCGGTTTTCAGAACCAGACACGAACGTGGCGTGCATCACTGATGGTCGAGATGCACCATTGTGGTGAAATTTGCAGAGAAATTCTTACCTGTTCTCCGGGCTGGCAGGGCCTGTTTACGGCGAGACATGATGATGCAGCCCAGTGCCTGGCTGGATGAGATGCGGGCCGGGCGACCTGTCTGGCTTACCGTGTGTGTATATAAGTGGATGGCTCAGTCACGCTCTGCTGTGCAACCTCATGAATAATGTATTCATTCACCACAGAGGATACGCTGGTGGGAGTCTCTCAGCCTTTTGAACTCCCCGGGACGACTTTTGCAGACAGGATCTTGTGTAGGCCTCAGTTTATCCCGGGCCCCTGCAGCAATGCATCATGCAGAGTGGCTGATTTATCATGCACAGAAGTTCAACCTGCCAGCCCTGCCAACGCATCAAGGCGGAAACGAGTGGAGAACGCATGCGCGGCTTTCGGGTATCCTCCCCTTAACCACCGCAACATCACATGACGACAACTTGTACTGTGTACTCCAGATAACCGGACCACAGTAAAGCTATAACTCGTTGCTGGAGGAGATTTTCAATGCAAGGTCGGCCAGCCTCGCACACAAGTAAGCTCGCCCTGCCTGGATGAATATACATCATGCATCATCATCATAATGCTACACACAGACCAGCCGGTCTAGAAGCACAGGAAGTGTCAATGGATGCCCCAGGAAACCTGCTGTGTGCTTTTATATCGGGATGATGCTGATTTCAGAAGCAGGATACAAATTACACTCCAGGCCAGGCCTTATCATTAAAAAGAGCAAAATATATGGACAACGACCGCACGATAGGACAAGACCTTTGAATATTATATTCCTAGGGATGAAGTGGTTAAGGCTTTATTTGTTTATGCGTGATAAACCCTGATGCACTGAGATGTGTGTAGTTGTTTCCTTTCAAAGTGTTTTTGGACTTGGGTCCGATATAAATCTGCCTCCACCTCATCGTCGTGATGGTGTGTTTAGGTATCAGAGTTCGGCACCACAGACATAGTTGTGGCGACATCGACATATTGGTTTGGCTGCACATTAGAACAAGTCACCAGAGCTGTAGTGGTGTTGAAGTCCGTGCTATTTTGTGAGTCTCGCATTCAACAGGTTAACACGCCTACGAATTCCCTTTCGATTCGCGTGTGCAATAGCATAACAATCCACAAGTACAAAAGATAAATCTTGCCAAGTGTATTTGTTCTCCAATTTTAGTTCAGAACCTCTGTTTAATAGGTCACTGCCGCCTTTCCCTATAGTTCCCGCATCTTAAATGAAAATACCCCGTGTCAACTTTATGTCTGCCCGAAGACTTAACTAAGTGTGTGGCCTATGAATCTCAGTAAAATAGTCGGTTTTTAACTTTTCCCTCCAGAGACAAACCAACCACTAAACTAAAAACAAACAAATCCCCCCCCCCAATGGACATTATTATATTCATGAATTTCGCAACTAGTACTGGTATCGCCTGCTTGGCAGCATCGATCCAGGAAAACCGAGCAACTTCTGCTTGTAGATCACTTTATGAAATACATTATAGTCTTTTTCCTCGAGGTCTGAAATGACCCAATTGGAATGTCCAAAAACACACATTAATTTTTATTTGAATAGAACATAAAAAATAACTTCATGATTATAAGCAAACTAAGTATAACGCATGCTTTATGGTTGCACACAACGCAATGTTTTACCATTCAATTCGGTGATTCGGTGTTTGTGATCGAGGTTAACAGAAAGATGAAAACAGTTGGCATTGTTTAGGCCTAACGGCATGGCGTATTTTTGCTTGTGGAGCCGAGTGAGTTTTGTGATAGAATGCGAAATTTGCATCCTTGCATGAATGGCAACTGCATTTTCAAGACACTAACCTGTAAGGAAACTGAAAGTATACCTTGTGCAACATGCTCAACAGTTTTTGTTTCTACGAGTCTTTAATTTTATTTAAGCGCACAGCTCAGCCTCCAAAGTGGAATGGACTTTAAGGACAGGGTCATATCCTGATGTGAACAGAACTGGTGAAATTATACGACACATGGACCAATGACTACTTACATACATCTCCCCTTCCTTTGTTTGTGGTGAATTTCTACACAGTGAAAGGGGAAATGGCTTCTTATATGCTAAAAAAATTTTACTGAGAAGTTTGCAGGATGGTAACGAGTAACGTGAATCCCGTGGCATTTTGGCAAGTAGCATGTTTTTGGTCAGCAAACGTTTGAAGATAACTTTTACGGATCAATAAAAATGGAAAATCGTTTTTAGACCCTCGCCTTGGACTCTGGGCACAGCGCTGATAAAGCTTAGCAGGTTGGTTTCCTTGAATCCTTTCCCCAGCTCCTCCTTACTGAATGAATGTTAAGACTATGTCTCTGCCCGAGTCTCCCTTCATAACAATGGCATAACTAACGGGGCATCATGGGGCATGACACCCTTGAGGCCTGTAACTCCCCCTGCTCAGAAATGACTAAAATCTGGTTCAAGTCCGCCTTGGTGAGTGTTTTTATCTGTGACCGACCCCTGAGTCCCCTTTAAAAAAAATGAGGATTCGATCCGCAAATGCCGCCATGCAAATTGTACGTACCCAGTTGCGGCATTGCCTATCTGCCATTTTAATTTTTTTTTATTTGCTTGAGTATAAGGAAACTGAAGGATTATTTGTCTGAACTTTAACCGATACAAATGCTACAAGAATCTTGAAGAGGAAAGCTATAAGGGAGCGAGATGTGAGGCATCCTTTTTGGTATTTGAGGGGTGGGTTAGATGCGCTTCTTGTTCATTTACCGGCTGTCGAAAATTTGGAACACTAAATAAAACAAGAAATTGGTGGCACGGAATGATACATAAAACCTATGAAACCCCAATTAAGCCTTTTGGAATTAAGGGTTTCAACTTTTAAAGCCTAGACTATTTCCAAAATTGATAGGCGCCATACATCATTACCATGACTTTATACCCCTACACAAACCAGGCATTGCCATTCATATTTTATACAAGGGTTCTGGACAAGATATAACATTTTGTGAGACACCGAGTTGCCCCCGTCCTTCTTTATTTGAATATTGAATTACAATAAAAGACATGCACAGATCCGGCGCGACGGTTAAGGTTCACCCCTGCTTTGATACACACACACAAACAAATTTTGCAAAATATGAAACAATTACCAAAATGATTATAACAATGGTAAAAATGATGACTTTTTAAAGGGTTATTATTTGTACAGAGTAAAGGCTATTTATTAGGAGACTGGCTATGAGTAAGAAGGTAAGTGCATCAGTAACAATAATAACTTTATATCCTCCTGGACCCGAACCCCCCCTCTGAAAATTCCTGGATTCATCCCTGCAAGGGCAAAGTGTTGTAAGATTAAAGCTATTGTGACCACGTTCAGCACAATCTTTAATTTACAGAATGATAAGTAATTTAAAATAAAATGCCAACCTTGGATCAGTTTTTCTGTTCATTTGGTAAGGATGGTGAATCTCACATGATAACCCTTTCGTTATGTGATAAAAATCATCAAGGGTGACGTGAACGTAGAACGAGATGAAGGTAGATGAGCAGAGCAAAGATTCATGACGAGGTTGCCATAGTGACCGAGACGAAGATGAAGACAAATTAGTCTCTGAAATTAAACGAATAATGAATTGAAGGAATAAGATACTTTGGCCACAAAACCAATCGTTTATCGGGCTGGTGATTTTTACACTAGATTCTGAAGAACAGAGAGACACATACATTAAGGGGTGATTTGTCAAATCAGTGGCCTTGTGCATAGGCGTCAATCGGTGGGGGGGGGACATGTCCCCCACTTTTCCAAGTGAGGGGGAAACTATATCAATTGTCCCCCCCCCACTTTTTCCAAAACCCAAATGAAAATGCATAGCTTGTAATAGCATTTGTTAAAAAAATGGCTAAAGTAACCAAAAACTGTCTCAGATCACCCGACAGAGCATCTCTACTCCAAAATTTTCCGGGACCTTGAGCGGGTCTCGGACCCCACGCCGCTCAGAGCTTTTGTTCTGATCAGGGCTATATCCCCAACACACTTTTCAAAATGGATTGACGGCCTTGGCCTTGTGAATCAAACATCGTTCGATGATCTTGCCTATAAAATGTCACAACTCATTGTTGACTTTTTCGAGAAGATCATAATAATGATGACGACAAATAGTGAATAAGGAGCAGTATGGGAAAGATGTTCTGTAGAGATTCTACCAAGTACCAGCAGTGACCACAGGGAAAAGTGTCTCAGCGCATTAAGTGTAAAAAATTAAATCTAAAATCACAAACCGAACACCAGATTAACCTTTTTCACAGAAAGACTTTATGCTGATTTTGTAATCACTCTCCGAGCAGTATTTCATTCATTTCATCATAATTTTACAGGAATTTTAAAGCTATAATAACCTAGAAGAAGAAGAAGGTTTGTTAAGGTTTAAATTTTTCTATTGAAACAACTTAGTGTAGCTAGGTCTCAAACAGAACATCACTGCCCGGCACGACCCATTATAACGGCAGTTGAAGATTTATTTGAACTTATTAAGAAAAGCATGTTTGTGTAGCTGACAATGAAAAATTAAAGCAAATCTACTCATCTAAATACGTTTAACTAAAAAGGCAATCCAGTCTCCTTAATCATTAACAAGAATCATGCCTCTCTTCATTTTTGCCCCCCCCCCTTAACTCCACCTTTCCAGTGACCTTTAACCTTACTTCTGTGGTTCAATATGGCGGTACACGAGTCATTGGTGTTGTAAGTATCCTCGCCGTTTGCATTTCTTCTTGATGCATTTTACCTTTTCGGCTCAGTCACTAATATTTCACGTCTGTACTAACCGAGTCAAAGACCACTCGTGTGATTTGTGTTCAGTGCGAGCGCTTCTTGCACGGGATTTTTGGTTCACATTGGCCTCCCTGAGCTGTCGGCTACAGTGTAGGCTTGTGACATGACAGGAGGCGAAATATAAACTCACGCGGCATCACGCTAGCTCAGCGCACCATATCGGCAGCGGTCACCCTGAAGCCGACACACATTGTGTACTTGCGACCCGCATTTGTACATCGTAATTCCTGAGTCAGTAGGCATAGCAATTATATATGGGAGGTTTTATTTGCTCATTTTAAGCTTGTTTTGTTATAAGCTTAATACTTTTTATTGTAATAGGCCTACCGCATGGCTAGGGAGGCTAGTAATAAACAAAGTTTTCAGTTATTTTTTCTGTTTTAAGTAATCTTAAAGATGATACCATAAGTGACACTTTGATACAAGTTTGGATTTCATCAAACTCAAAGCAAATAAAAATCAATTTGAAGTGGGAATGTTTTGAGATGTTTTTTGTACACGTGTAATGCAGAGCAAACTGTGATTATTCTGTGTACGAAAATGAGTGGATTTTAACTGAAAACCTCAAACTTCATACTTTTGTAAAGTCTTTGTTCTTATTTGTGCCTTATTTCAATGAACCAAATGCTGGCTTCACTTCAAATTTCAAAAATTTTGAAACTGGAAATTAAATACTAATATTTAGCAAAGCTACAAGAGCGTGCAAAAAAGACAGAGTTTAATCACAATTTCCTTTTTAAGAAAATGAATTTCTAAATAAACAAACACCCTCACTCAGTTATTCATGTCCCTAACATGGCTGATTGCCATGATGCCTTTTTACTATAGTGCAAAATCAGTGTTGCAATATTAGCAGTAAGGCTTATGAAAATGAAAATGATGCTTTAGTTTAGCTAGCTGCCAGCATGGCCAGTGCCAGCAGTACTAATAGTAGGCCTAACTGTGAACAAGAGAAAAAAATAAAAGGATATTCACCATACACCTGACATTGAGCCAAGAAAGTTTTTGGCTGTGCAACACTCACTGCCACTGGTAAAACAATCATGACAATGCCTCCGCAGTGTCAGGCCTCCGACAATGTCAAAAATGTTGATTACTTATTCTGTTATAGTGTTACTAGATCATGGTTTTGGTCAACATGTACGGTCGCAGTGAAGTTTTCTTGCAAAGCCACAATTGTCCGATTGTTGATACATTTTGATCAACATGTGTCTCGTTTTTTTCTGTACTCTAGGTACACCACTGATGACAAGTTTTATGTTGAAGCCAGAGACGAGGGCACCAAAGAACTTCTAGTCATTGATAGACTGAGCCAAGAGATATCACTTGAACGTGAGTATTGAACATGATCTCTTGATCTTTGCATGATCTGTCAATCTTATTGTTGATAATTTTGCCATCAGGCAATTGCCTATTCTTCTGTGTTGCAGTCGTGGAAGATTTATTCTAAAAAGGGGAATTGAAGGTGATTACATACTAGATTGATGGATAAGGCAACACAATTGCATGACTACTGATCAGTTGATTGTAGCCAACAAGTACATTAATATTATGAAAATTTTCTGGGTTCAGAAATTCTTCCGGTATGTATTACAATTAAGATTTTAGATTGAAAAAAATCATCTTCACAGTTTACATTCTAATGTTGAATGTGTTTACCTCCTCTCAGTCTCAAATTGAAATGTGGAAATTAAACAAAGATTTTCTAAACCAAGGAAAAGATCAAATTTCTTAGTAACGTGTATTATTAAAAAGGAATAGAATAGTTGTGGTAAAGCTTGTGGCTGGGTTGGTGTACCTTTGTCTTAGGAGCCACGTTCTCAGTTTTCTTGAAGACATGATATGTGAGCGACGTGTTTCGAATCTGTAGCCAGTGTAGCTGCTTAGAATAGCTGCCCTTGTTCCAAGAATGAAGTGCATGTGTAAGGTTTGAGAGTGTGTAATATTGATCCTAATCTTGCTCTATCTTTTGTGTCTCTGACAGAATCTTCAGGCCAGATCCCACCGTTTGCCTCCAGTCGACCAATATGTGGGGTGATGGGTACAATACGCCTCTTGGCAGGTCAGTAGGAAAAGAAAAAAATTATGTGGTGGGACATTCGAAGAACGGTTCTTTAATAAGGTATAAATTTCAGTTCCACTTACCTGGTAAGTCTAATGTAACTTGCAGTTAGCCACGATGCCCATGACGTAGGTTTGTATCTTCTAAAATTTACTTTTGGTGTGAGCGGTCTACTGTCTTTGCAAGAAGACTACAGTTGCTGTGAACTTTGTTGCAGGGCAACCCCCCCCAAAAAAAGAATCAGAAACTCGGCACTGCTTCATTGTGGTGTCTTAATGAGGGTCTTACCTTGAAAATGACCCTCTGTGGCCTCTCAAGGTATATTGTGATATCCCAATGAGGATAGTGACTCCATATCTCTTACCCCTTGAGATAAATTGTGGTATCCCAATCGGGGTTGAACCCAGAAGATGACCTCCAGTCTTGACCCACTGATACACCTTGCACTTTCAAATAAAGGTATTTTGTCCAGGAAGATCTCCTATCTTTGACCTAGTGAAGCATTTTGAAATAAGTTCAGCTTTATTCTCTCAACTAACACTCTTTTTTATTCCCTTCCCTTTTCTTGCAGGCCCCTACTTGGTGGTCATTACCAAGAAGTCAAAGGTTGGGGAAATCAATGGTCAGACCATCTGGAAGGTCGCAGGTCATGAAATTTTGCCTTATAAGAGGACAGTCATGCATCTGAATGAACAGCAGGTGTGGAATTTTGTCTTCAACTTTGTCAATTTGTCTTTCGGCGTCATATTTATATATTTATTATATTTGTGTTTCCTATTTTATTTATGAGCTAGATTTGATTCAGGGAAAATGGAAAATATTGAACAAAATGAGGATTGTAACTCATAAGACTGAGACGGCACGTGATGCAGACGCCTTGCCTACCAATCACCCTTCCTTCTTCACAGTATTCTTGTCTTCAGGCCTGTTATGAAAAGGGACAAGTTTCAGTCAAGTGAAGTGTTAAAATGGAAAATTTGGTGCTGTAAGAATTGTCAAGACTGTGTGCATGTTCCATGTCTTTTATGATGTAGCAACAGGATAGCCGCACTTATGAGTCCATGGTTAACTACGTACTGGAGACCAACGATTGTTTCTTCTCAACGACCTATGACCTCACACATTCTCTCCAGAGACTTTACAACACCAGTCCTGAATTCCTGCAGATGCCTCTGTTTGAGAGGGTGAATACAGATTTTATTCCTCCTCTTTCTGAAATTTTTAAAAAGTGCTTTTCAAAACTACAATAAAGAGTGGTTGTTACACCTTACATCGACGAATGTCACAAATACCCATAGAAATTCCTTTTAGGGGAACTGATTGAAATCAGGCATTCTTAAGATGACTTTGTAGTGATGGTGTCCCAACAGTAACCAAAGTCAAATCTGTGGCAAGAATGTATAAAATAGACAGTCGTCAGGTCAAATATAAATGGGAAAGAAATACCTATATTGTCGATAAAGGTGACAGGTAAAATCCTGGTTCATACTACTACCCGGTCCCAGACTACAAGTTACAGGTGGAATACGGCGCAGTGTTAACCTATATAATAAGCTGCTCAAGTGGACTGAGGGAATTTAGTCTGAGAGGAAGTTTAAGCTTCTCATTTTATTTCATTCAGTGTTGTCCCTTTCTTCTGACAGGCTGACCAACGTTTTGTCTGGAATGGTCATTTATTAAGAGAGCTGGCTTCTCAGCCTGAGGTAAGAGGCTTTTATTTCAAGATTCCAATTTGCCTCAAATGTCAAACCTTTGATGTGTTTTACTACACATGACATATGTCCATAATCATTCATGGAATGCTCCTTTCCTTCTGTTTCCATGGTTGTATTCCAATGAATGTCTTTCAATATTATCTTTTAAGCCTTTTTCTGATTTTCATATTTATGCCTAAATCTTTTTGTGAAGTTTTGGTTGTGAGTTTGATCCCCAAACTGGGAAAAGGTTCCTTTGCAAATATTGTATTGACTGTTTGTTTTTTTTACAGTTAAGCCGTTTTGCATTACCTGTCATGTGTGGATGTATCCTTTTTCGATTGGAGTAGCAGATTTAAGGAATAATAGTAAGAACAGCGTCAATCCTAACCTCTGCACTGTCCCTATTGAACCTTACTTCTTATGGAAGTATACCCTACAGTTTATTATCATAGCAGTTAACTCCATCTGCCAGACAGAAGGACTACATCCTGCAAACTACATGTATTTTTTGCAGCTCTACGTGAGGTCAGGATTAATTAACGACCTTTCTGAGGAACATTAAATCTCTGATTTAAAGATGTAGTTCTTTTAAAGTTAATATCTGGGTTAACTAACACAGATTGGCTCAAGGGTGGAATACCACTAACGTACCTAACAGTAAAAGCTTCAGGTCAGAAATTGGAATGGATGTAAAGAATAAGATCTCTTCAGCTGTTCGCCTCTGTTTCCATATTTCTCTGTGATCATCTATAAATTGAGGGACATATTATCTTTGACTTCAATTGCAACAGTTGTTGCTATAAGAATAGGTATCTTGCATGGAAAGCGTTTTGACTACATTATCATCTCAAGAAGGAGTTGTTTCCGTGCCGGGACGAGATATTATATGAGAGGCTTGGACACACAAGGGCATGTTGCCAACTTTGTGGAGACGGAGCAGATTGTGCAATGTAATGGATGGAGGGGGTCATTCATTCAGGTAGGATCTCCACAAATCTTAAACGAAAAAAAAAAGAAAATTGATGAAAGAATTAACAAAATATGGAATGAAAGCAAGTTGTTAGGTAAGTTACTTCAGGTGTTTAGAAAACGACAAAATGAAAGGTTACTTGAGCAAGCTTGGTCAAGGAAGTAAATGCCCGTAGTGAAAAGATCATAGAAATATCAATCATTACGAGCAATGTCAGCGTCTTCCAGATATCTAAAGCCTGATGCATCTACTTGCATCTTTTCTCGTTTATGTGGAAAAGTGAAGTCTTTATTGCTGCAACTATGTGGAAACTGCCTTTCTGTGCTCGTACATCTTGCTTTATGTTATGCTCATCTTTCAATCTTTCAGACAAGAGGCTCCATACCACTCTACTGGTCCCAACGACCCAGCATCAAATACAAACCAAAGATACTGATAAGTGAAGCACAAAACCATGTGAGTGTATCTTTCTGTCCCAATCAGATGTCTTAGTTTGTATTTTTTCTTTTAAAGTTTGATTATTTCAATTTTTTTTACTTCATATTTGCATATATGAATTAACTAACCTTACATTATGAATATTTACTGGTTTTGGATAGATGGACGGCTTTATGAGACATCTAGACAGCCAGATGGTCAGTTATGGAGATCAGGTTCTGGTCAATCTAGTGAGTATTAGATCACCGATTGCAGGCTTGTTGCATGCAGGAGATTGCATCAAAAGGAACACCCTTTCCCAAAGGCCGAGTTCCTCTTTTGCTTGAACGTGGTGGCTTCTGTCCATATTATAAGTTTTTTCTCACGAAGCAAAGTATTTAAAATTGATCCTCGGTATTAGGATAAGTGATAATTCTCCATTGTGTTGACTTGGCATTTTATTAGTTCACACGTATCTTGTCAGTACCATTGCAAAGTGACTGCTCTTACTTTAGTTTCTCTATTGTCCATTTGTAGATTGATCACAGAGGGATTGAGGACAGACTAGAGAAGTTTTTTGCGAAGGCTGTCATTGATTCACAGAACAAGAGTATTAGGTAGTATTTTATTAATTATTTATATTCCCGACAGTCACTGGATATGAATTTAAATCACAAATCTAATTTATGGCTTAATTCTGCAATATTGCTGATATGCCGCAAAAATTCTGATTAAAAGGAATGCCCCCACTCCATTGTTTTGTATTTTTGTTCTACCAGTGTCATGCATAAGAAACTGAACTTGCCAAAATAGACACAGTATTATTTCTGTTCAGCTGCAGGTGTCTAAAAGAAAACTGCAGCTCGATCTGTTTCCATTTAAAGGAGCTTGCTGTATGCTCTGCCAAAAGATATCCAAAGGATTCAGTTGGAAAACTCAAGATTATGTCTGATTGTTCAAATTCTATCCATTGGAAAACAGCAAGGAAAGGGGAAAGTGACTTTAACAGTAGCTTCGATTATACAATGGCAGGTATGAATCCTTCGACTTCCATCATGAATGCCGTAAGATGCGATGGGACCGCCTCTCCATCCTCATGGACAGACTAGCAGCTGATCAGGACAAGCATGGGTTAGCCAGTTGTTGAAATAACAAGTGGAGTTATTAAGGTCTTAACAGGTGTTGATCATGGGATTATTTTATGGAGATTTGCAAGGGTTAATCTTGATTCCCTCAGTTTAAAATCATACTGGAAGAGTTAGACCTGTTAGGTTATGTGTTGAATCTTGGAGAGGAAAATCAGAACAATCTAATTAGATTTTGAAGCTGACGTTGACTTGGACTTGAGATGCAGTAACTGCTGTTTGAGCACTCACCCAGCTAGTTCTATTGATTGAACGTGACCCAGACACTTGTATGTTTGATGAGAATCTATGGAGAAAACAGAGAAAAGATTATTTGTAGGGAATGCATTTACAAAATTAACAGGAAGCCGACTATTATCCATTTTTGTTGAAGACATGCACGTAGAGGAAGTAATTCGAAGTAGAATGCAGAGGGCCTCTTTGATTTTACTCACCAATTTGTCCTAATTTAACCCCAACCTTATCACTCCATCTGCGTGTAGGTGCTTCTTACTTAGTCCTTCCAATCAGCTTCTCAAACATCAGACTGGAGTCTTCCGAACCAACTGCATGGACTGTCTGGATCGTACCAACGTAGTGCAGAGTTTACTAGCAAGGAGAACACTCCAAGAACAATTACAGGTAAGACAGAGCCCCCCCGCTACTTGATTATTAAAGGTGGATATGAAGCAGGGGTACTATTTTGCATTACAAAGTTTTCCTTGAAGTGTAATCAGGAAAAATGCTCAAAGATTTTAAAGCGGAGTTCCTCTGCCTATAGCAACACAAAAACTAAACATAAAGATGCCCAAGCACTCTAAAAACTGATCCATTTGATGAGTAATGTCGATTACTGGCTCAAGAATCATAAAAACTTGATTTATTTAGTAGTGACATCAAAGAAATCTGACTTTCATGTTTCATGCAGATGTTTGGTGTTCTAAATGAGGGTGAGAGCTTGGATAATCATCTTACGACAGCATTTGAAAGCACCTTCAAAAACAGTAAGTTCAGAGAGTAAGTTTGGACCGAGTCTGAAGTTTGAGCTCTTGGCTCATACTCCATGCTTGGATGTATCAAGCTTTGGCTCTGTGGAGGTCCCTTGTTCATGTTGTCCTAAGGAATCTGCAGTTTTTCTCATGTGTTTTGTCCACGTTGAATTGGCTAGGTCTTCACAGTAATTTGTATAGTGTTACTAAAATTGGACTTTTTGACTTTTTTTTCAGCCTGGGCAGACAATGCTGATTTCTGCTCCAGGCAGTATGCGGGTACTGGAGCGCTTAAAACAGACTTCACTAGGTATGTGTATCATCATAACCAACCCAGTCACAAGTTACTTAGGCATTTTGTATTGAAGTACAAGAGAGACAACCTGTCACCAAAAGGGGAAGCCATTGGAGCCTGTGTACCCCATGTTTGTGATTGGGGTTCCTTGATTGACAGGTTGACACTTGATTGGAGAAGGATTATTTTCTTGTTGATACATGTTTTGTGATGTCTCCAAAGAGGATGTATTAACCCTAACACTCCTCAATCCTTCACCTGTTGGAGGACTGAGGACTGTTAGGGTTAAAGATAGACTTGTGCCGTCATTATCTGCCAGTACATGAATAATGTTCTAGATCTCCTGAACATCCTCTGGTTACGTCATTGCAGAACTGGTAAGCGCACACATTTAGGAATGTTGAAGGACTTGTACAACTCTATGCTACGGTACTACATGAACAACTTTGTTGATGGATACAGACAGGCAAGTGTGACAATTCATTTCCAGAAGTAAACTAGATAGGTTTGCAGTAGCACCATGGATATATCTTATTTGAGTATGTGGGGTTCTGAAGAGAACCGGTGGTACTCAACGTTTCGGACAGTATGCTCTGTTTACTTTCTCCCTCCACCATGAAAAGCTTCAAATCTCATCATTTCAAGAATTTTAACTCAAAAGAAGGTCAGTGCACATCATTATTACATGTATGTATGGAAGATCACTTGTTGGTGTTACTCTGTTAATGAAGATCACCTGTTTGTGTTACTCTATTAACATTTCTGGATGACATGAAGAGATGAATTTGTTGACATGCCAGGTATGTCACTGTTGGTTCTTCATGTCAGGAATCAAGGTGCATTTCAATTATATCCTGACATGAGGAACACAGAACAAGGGAATTGGCATCATTGCTAGAAGTACACTGTAGTTTTTGTTCTACAGGATTCCATTGACCTCTTCCTTGGCAACTACATTGTGGAGGAGACAGAAGGCATTGCGTCACCATCTCCACTAAGATCCAAGGGAGATGCCCGGTTTATGCTGGTTAGTTGCTGCTTCTTTCGCTCCCAGGACCCTAGAGAAGGGCCCTGCTTGCTCAGTTGTAATAACCACAAGTTTTAAGGGCTTTCATCCGATATTTGGCTAGAATTGAATAAAAACAGTTAAAGTTTCATGGTCGTATGGAATTATGGGAAATAATGCAGTGTGCCCTTCCTATATCCAGATCATGGAAGATGTCTGGCACATAGATGTGGGCAAAATAGAAAGAATTGATTGTCTAAACAGAGTCTAGACTCTGAGGTTTGTATTTTGCTGCACATGAGAACTAGACCTAGATACCATACGTTGGCTGTATGAGGTACAGTCAGAGTGTATTTTATCTCTACTTTTAACTGAGGTTTTAGATCCATTTCTGATAGTGTTATCATCAAGACTCAAACCCAACACAAGACATCTAGTTAGAATTCAAGTCTTGTGTCTGGTCTTGTGTCTGGTCTTGTGTCTAGTCTTGTGACTGGGCTTGTGTCCGTTATTGTGACTGGGCTTGTGTCTGTTATTGTGTCTGCTCTTGTGACTGGTCTTGTGATGATCTCAACAACACTGATTCTGAACGCCAGTCTCCTGTTTGTCTTGTTTGCTCTTTAGCTTCCTGTCATTTGCATCGTGGCATTCTCCATGCTCATCATTAGCATTCTCATT